CGTTCAATCACTTCCTCCATTGGTGAGGTCTGGGTAGCTCGATGAACCACCACCTTTTCTACCAGAGGACCATGTTCAATCACTTCCTCCATTGTTGAGGTCTGGTTAGCTCCATGTACCATCACCTTTTGTACCAGAGGACTGTGTTCAGTCACTTCCTCCATTGGTGAGGTCTGGGTAGCTCCATGTACCATCACCTTTTGTACCAGAGGCTCAGTGTCTGATTTAATCACCTCCAGGGGCTGAGCTTCCAGGGGCTGAGGGGCTTGTGCGATCCCCTCCTCAGTGACTAGGGGCAGGGGGGGCTTTTTCCTTCCTTTGCAAGGAATCAGTGGTGCCTCAGTTCTGATTCCTTCTCTGTCTTTTGGGTTTTTGGCGACTCCCATTTCTTTCCTTCCCTCGAGCTGGTTAGAACTTTGTTCAGGTTCTAACCAGCTCTCTGGCCAGTCCTCAAATAGCTGGTTAGAACTTTGTTCAGGTTCTAACCAGCTCTTTGGCCAACCCTCAAACCACCAATCACGGTCATGTCCTGTCCAATTCTCTGTGGGCCTGCTATCTGCCTGCTTGTCGGCCTGTTCGTCGGCCTGTTCGTCGGCCTGTTCCCTTGGTGGTGCCGCAATTCTCAAGCATTCACCGTCTTTTAGGTTTTCCACCATCTCTCTAACTTCCCACGCATGTATTGGTCTTTGTTGGAGACTTGACATGCTCTTGGCCCACTCCTCAAACCACCATTCATGGCCAGGTCCTGTCCAATTTCCTCTGGGCCTGTTATCTGCCTGCTCACAGACCTCTTCTTGGGCCAATTCGACTTGACCTCCTGCGATTCTTTGTACCGTTTTTGGCATCGACACTGTGTTTGTGTTAAAAAAAGAAGTAAATGTTTTTAAGTTGTTTTCACCTGCCAGTGAACCAACAGCTCAGAAACAGTACACCACTTGCTAAGTTTCACTTAGAACACTTGACAGTTGATGACATCATCATCAAAGCCTCTGTGATGTCACAGAGGCTTCTGTGATGTCACAGATATCATCAAAGCCTCTGTGACATCATTGCCTTTTTTAAAATATTCAATTTAGTTTGAATACCTTTTTTTTTTTTACTTTATTGAACATTGTGTGTGCTAAAGGATCTGGTTACCGTCAGCCTCAAACATAGAAGTTCACATGAAACATTAAGATCTGCTGTACCTAGTGATGGGCAGATCGATACTTAAGTATTGATTCCTCTGATACCAGATTTTAATGCTCTAAAATCGATTCTCAAGTCATTTAGGGTAACACATATAATTAACAGGAACACAGTGGAAAGTAACTTAACTGTTAAGATCTTGTCTAAATGTCTTAATGTGTTAAAGCAGCGGCATGCTCCCCAGTCAGCCCATCACTCAACATTGTGGCAGAGCTTAAACAGTCATGTGTGGAGCTATTCCAGCTTCACAAACAGCCCCGATGTGGTTTGTGATGTTTGTGAAACAACAACAAGGAGTTGTAGTAACAAAACAAACTTCGTAAAACACCTCAAGTTAAACCACAACACAGAATATGAGGCATTTATGATGAGGCGGACACAAGAGGAGAGCACATTGTGATCATCTCACATAGGCAAAAAAGCCTAGATTTTTTTCAGGTAAGGTTTTGTAAAGAATTGATCATTTAAGTGGATTACACAGACGAGGTGTCATTAAATTATACAGAGCAATTGTGATGAAACTGCCATGATGAATTTAGAAAAACATGAGAAAAAATGGATAAAAACATAATATTTTATCTATAAAACACATCTATTATTATTTACAATCAGTCTAATTTTCCTTTAACTATTAAATGAACATTTTAAAATTTAGGTATTGATTAAAATTGAATTAAAAAAATTATTCAACTGAATAAAAGCAAGTTTTTCTAAAAATTTAACAACAAGCTTGAGTTTATAATCGCCAATGCCCTCAAGGATACCATGCATTATGTCAGGAGCAATATTGTCAGTCACATGATAGAACTGCAACTTCTTGAGTGTACTGTCTCTTGTGATGCCAGTTTCACTTAGGTTGTTCACAAAAAGAGCGGAGAGTGGAAGTTGACTGTGACTGTAAGGAACCTTTGATTTTGATTGATTTCTGTCAATTTGGTGTCCGCTATGGAAAAAGCAGTATTAGAATATTCTTGTTTTTATTTGTTTATTTGACATGAACATATAGGATCATTGAGGCCAAAACATTTACCATTCATCACTCCAAGATGCACTGCACTTTTTATATATTTTTTTTTCTTTTTGCAAGATTCTAATTTGCAACACAGGAGGCTTTTGTTGATTACAAAGTAAAAATATCCTGTAAGCTACTTGACGAGGTAGTGTTTTCGGTCTAAAAATCAAATACTTCTGAAAAGCTTTCTAAAAGAAATTAATAAAACTCACAATCTAATGTTTATGTCTCCAGTTATGTCACTAATCATCTATCTACTTGGGTATCTGTACCAAAACTTTACAACATTTTCTTTGTGCTGCCTAGTTATCGCATTTGCAGTGTCATGGTGTTCTTCCACGTTAATCTCTCTGATTTTATGCTTTTCTACATTTGGTTGAAAAGCTTGGATTTTAATGCTGTGTTGTAAACTAATGCAGGCATTTTTTGTTGGTTTGTTTTTGACATTATGTCAAATTATGTCACATGCGATCTGTTGAAAAGGCACCGCTGGGATTCGAACCCAGATTTCCTGTGTACTAGACAGGCGCTTAAACCAACTAAGCCACAGTGCCAAAGAGAATTTTGAGAAACAGATTGTGTGCATGTCAGAACAATTAACCCTTGATTCCTGTTAATTTAAGCACTATCCAGCATACTTTAATTTATTAACTTGTTTATTTATTAACTCACTCTTCTCTTCCTCTACCAATGCAACTGGAGTTAAACCAATTATCCCTCTGAAAAGCTCTGAAAACCCAATCTTTAATTTATTTATACAATAGTGTTGGCCTTCACTTTTGAACATGTCCAGTACTTGTAGTTCCAAATCTCTTGTTTTTGCATGTTTTACTTTTATCTTTGTGTTAATGGTGTTTAATTAGCTGCTCAAATCCTCACACACAGTCACATCAGATGTGCCTCCCCTAGGTCATGAAAATTCTAACCCTTTGAATCAATGTCCCCTTTTCTTTGAAAGTTTTTTGGATGTCATTTAAGTGCTGAGGATTCTTACACCCTACCAATGCAACTGGAGTTCAACTAATTTTCCCTTTTCTGGTCATGGTTTTTGTAGAATTTAATATTTCTATTGAATTACTTTGTTTATTTAAAAACTTTGATCAGCAGTGTTCCTATAAACCTATTTTTTTATTTCTTGCTTTGTTTTTATTTTTTGGAAAGAAAACAATTATTATTCTCATTATTACTGATTTTAATTCTTAATTTAGTGTTCAAATATTCACACTATGGAAAACATCACTTTACTTCTCTGTCCCTTTTCACAACTTTAACAACTTTCAGTTATCATCTTTGTCTCTATCCAGAACACACAGTCAGCCATTGCCACAGACAAAGGAAAAAAAAAAAAAACAGACCCGACACAAAGTTAGGATCTTTCTCTGTATGTCGCACCGTTTTTCCAAGCCTTGCCTTACTTCAAACTATGTCACAATCAAAGCCACAATATTCTCAATGTCAGTCTTTTACACATTCACTAATCAAACAGTACAATGCCACACCCTACTTCAATCTTAACTTGCGTCACCATCCAAAATGCAACACTTCAACACTTGTTCAAATAAACACACACACACAAAAACCTGATCCCCAGCAGTTTTTGTGAAATTCTCCAAAATTACACAATACAAAGCTTTTGCATTAACTGAAGTCTCACAGCAATAGTCTGTATTAACAGCTTTAACAATATTCGAAAAACCACAGTATTTTGGCAGAAACAGCAGATGTATAGAAGCAACGCTTAGATTTGATGTTTTCGAAGTTTTACACATGTGGTACCTCATTTCTCTTTCCATTTTTTTTTTTTATACTTTCACAAACATTATTTCAGCAGCTTTACCACAGAAAATTTGCTAGGGAGCATAAGTCATGCGTAAACAACAAAAAATCATAATATTCAAGCACAAGCTAAAACCTTTATATCAAGAGTGTTCATCATGATACTAGGAACAGAACCTCTTTCCCAGGAGTATTTAACCTTCTATGTTTAAACTGATGGCATAAATGCAACAAGCACAGTATTCACATAAACAACTATGAGATAAACACGAGTGAGGAAAACACAAATATATGAAAAGATTCTACTACAATTTTTGGATTTTTTTTTTAATGTAATTTTTAAAATCTTTTTTCTATTTTTGATTGCCGTTAATTTTTCAAATTTGATTTGTTTTTATTTCTCTAATTTCATCGTGAAATTTTTGTCGTTGTTGTTATTGTTTGGGACTTAGGCGGACATAGGTCTTAGTGTGGGTGGGTGTGGGTTTAAACATTCACATTATGCTGGTTGTTTGGGACAACTCAGCCTCATGTCCATTCTCTTTGTGTATTTGCGGGTGCATTGGCGTGTGTGTGTGTGTGTGTGTGTGTGTGTGTGTGTGTGTGTGTGTGTGTGGGTGTGGGTTTAAACATTCACCCAGCTGGTCGTTTGGGACAACTCAGCCTCATGTCCATTCTCTTTGTGTATTTGCGGGTGCATTAGCGTGTGTGTGTGTGTGTGTGTGTGTGTGGGGAATGTGGGTTTAATCAATCACTTTATGCTTCATCTTCTTCAATATTTCTGAATGCCCCACAAATGAAAAAGTTAAGGAACTTCTTCCGTCTTGAAATTCGCGGAGGAGCGCGTTCGGTCACTTCCTCCATTGGTGAGGTCTGGGTAGCTCCATGTACCATCACCTTTTCTACCAGAGGCTCAGGGTCTGATTTAATCACCTCCAGGGGCTGAGGGGCTTGTGCGATCCCCTCCTCAGTGACTAGGGGCTGGGGGGGCTTTTTCCTACTTTTGCAAGGAATCAGTGGTGCCTCAGTTCTGATTCCTTCTATCTTTTGGGTTTTTGGCCACCCCCATTTCTTTCCTTCCCTCGAGCTGGTTAGAACTTTGTTCAGGTTCTAACCAGCTCTCTGGCCAATCCTCAAATAGCTGGTTAGAACTTTGTTCAGGTTCTAACCAGCTCTTTGGCCAACCCTCAAACCACCAATCACGGTCATGTCCTGTCCAATTCTCTGTGGGCCTGCTATCTGCCTGCTTGTCGGCCTGTTCGTCGGCCTGTTCGTCGGCCTGTTCCCTTGGTGGTGCCGCAATTCTCAAGCATTCACCGTCTTTTAGGTTTTCCACCATCTCTCTAACTTCCCACGCATGTATTGGTCTTTGTTGGAGACTTGACATGCTCTTGGCCCACTCCTCAAACCACCATTCATGGCCAGGTCCTGTCCAATTTCCTCTGGGCCTGCTATCTGCCTGCTCACAGGCCTCTTCTTGGGCCAATTCGACTTGACCTCCTGCGATTCTTTGTACCGTTTTTGGCATCGACACTGTGTTTGTGTTAAAAAAAGAAGTAAATGTTTTTAAGTTGTTTTCACCTGCCAGTGAACCAACAGCTCAGAAACAGTACACCACTTGCTAAGTTTCACTTAGAACACTTGACAGTTGATGACATCATCATCAAAGCCTCTGTGATGTCACAGAGGCTTCTGTGATGTCACAGATATCATCAAAGCCTCTGTGACATCATTGCCTTTTTTAAAATATTCAATTTAGTTTGAATACCTTTTTTTTTTTTTTAACTTTATTGAACATTGTGTGTGCTAAAGGATCTGGTTACCGTCAGCCTCAAACATAGAAGTTCACATGAAACATTAAGATCTGCTGTACCTAGTGATGGGCGGATCGATACTTAAGTATTAATTCCTCTGATACCAGATTTTAATGCTCTAAAATCGATTCTCAAGTCATTTAGGGTAACATATATAATTAACAGGAACACAGTGGAAAGTAACTTAACTGTTAAGATCTTGTCTAAATGTCTTAATGTGTTAAAGCAGCGGCATGCTCCCCAGTCAGCCCATCACTCAACATTGTGGCAGAGCTTAAATAGTCATGTGTGGAGCTATTCCAGCTTCACAAACAGCCCCGATGTGGTTTGTGATGTTTGTGAAACAACAACAAGGAGTTGTAGCAACAAAACAAACTTCGTAAAACACCTCAAGTTAAACCACAACACAGAATATGAGGCATTTATGATGAGGCGGACACAAGAGGAGAGCACATTGTGATCATCTCACATAGGCAAAAAAGCCTAGATTTTTTTCAGGTAAGGTTTTGTAAAGAATTGATCATTTAAGTGGATTACACAGACGAGGTGTCATTAAATTATACAGAGCAATTGTGATGAAACTGCCATGATGAATTTAGAAAAACATGAGAAAAAATGGATAAAAACAACATTTTATCTATAAAACACATCTATTATTATTTACAATCAGTCTAATTTTCCTTTAACTATTAAATGAACATTTTAAAATGTAGGTATTGATAAAATTGAATTAAAAGAATTATTCAACTGAATAAAAACAAGTTTTTCTAAAATTTAACAACAAGCTTGAGTTTATAATCGCCAATGCCCTCAAGGATACCATGCATTATGTCAGGAGCAATATTGTCAGTCACATGATAGAACTGCAACTTCTTGAGTGAACTGTCTCTTGTGATGCCAGTTTCACTTAGGTTGTTCACAAAAAGAGCGGAGAGTGGAAGTTGACTGTGAGGTCATTATTGTACCAAAAGCGTTTGCAAAAGTGTATTTCAATCTGTGTGTCTGTAACCAGATCCATAAATGTGTAAAGAAAAAATCTGCAAATGAGTATTTTAATCTGTGTTTGTGTGTGTAACCAGATATGCACACATGCAAAATAAATCTACAAATGCACATTGATCTTTATGCCTAGATTATGTGATCTGTGATTATCAGGCCTAAAGATTGGACGTGTTTTCATGACTTTTGCTACAACTGTCAGAGGGTCTTTGGGTGCATTGTTGTCCGTCTTTTGCTTCTTCCTCTTCCTTTCCTTGGTCCAGATGCCACGTCTCAGACATCTGTGACAGACAAAGAGGATGGGGAAGGAGGGAAAGGTGCTCAATGTGCCGGTACCCCCAGCAGTCCTAATCTATAGCAGCATAACTAAGAGCTGGTCCAGGCCTGAAGCACCCTAACTATAAGCGTTATCAAAATGGAAAGTTTCAGCCGACCACCTTTTAAAGGCTTTAGGTATAAGCACGCCTGTATATTGGGACTGTAATGTTCTGGAAGGGTAATCGGGAACTATAAGCTCTTTAGGATAAGAGGTTGCCTGACCAGAAAGAGCTTTGTGGGTCAGGGATAGAATTTTAAAGTCAACCCCAAATTTAATGGGAAGCCAGTGTTGAGGAGCTTATACAGGGGGGATGTGGTCCTTTTTGAAGAGTCTTTAACGACCCACTCAGATGAAAATCATGTTTTCCTTGTTGTCCACATGTTTATATGCGTTTTTCTGATGCTACAGGCAGACTCAAACGGCAGGCGCAGACACAGTGAGATTTCCTACGTCACAACTGCAAGCCCAAGCTCTGCCCCCGGAGCCATTCTATGCAGGCCAGACTCAGAGAAGTAGAGATTGTGGAACAAGCAAGTGAATTAGCGGATTGCAAAGCTCGTAAGAAAGCTAATTAAGATATTTGCTTTCATTATGTCCCCAAAGACGTGTCCAAGAGCTGAATAGCAACGTTAAGCTGAAAGCTAGCGTGAAGAGGAGTGTGCAGAGCAGCGCTGTCCCGCCCACAACTCAGAGGCGAATTGCTCATGAGCTACTGAAGCTCTAAAAAAGAAAAACCTAGGAAATTGGCAAAGGCAACATGATTTTGGCAAAAAACTTCACAATCACAATTCAAAGACCACTGAGAATGCTTTAAATAGTAAAAGAAAAACAATTGGAGTGGGACTTTAAAGACTTATTAGGACATTACATATTTTGTTGCACTTGACATACTCTTCTTGCAAAAACAGGTAGAACCATGGAGGCTTGGTTGCCAAAAAACACATTTATGGCAAAATAAAAATGATAAAAAGTACCGATCATTGTAAGCATCCTTTACACTCATCCCTCTCTCCTGTACTATTGTCTGAACCCAGCATTTGAATTTGAATGTTTGTGAAAGCACAATTTACAGTAGTGGTGTTGTACTGAGTTGCATTACATTGTCAATGTGTACACACAGCTGATAGTCATGCTGATCTTGTATTCTGACTAGTATGACTGATAAACTATACGATGGTGCCACCTACTGGAGAAAACTCAACAATGCATGGCAGCGCAGCTAATTCTTCCAAGTAACACAAATACACAGTTAAAAATTATACCAATCCACCAATGAGTGTACCAAGCCAGTGAATAAATTTGGATAAATCTGATCCAAGAATTACAATGAAACCTACAGAAATTTAAAGGAGACTTAAACTTAAAGCAGGGCTGCAAATGTATCTAAATCTAACACATGAATATGGATTTTTTTTTTTTTAAATAAGTCTCTTTTATCCCAAATCAGATAACGCATTTACCTGAAACTGTGAGACTTGGGTATAATGGCCATGAAGTTTTAGCTGTCAGATTAACTGGTGATAATTCTGTGATGAAAATAAATGTATAAATAAATGCTTTCTGGTGTATTATGGATTCGGTAGAAACATGTTGCAAACACAGAAAAAAATATGTTAAAGATGAGTAACAGCTGATAGACAACACACATTGTGCTATAATGGCAAATATGTAGTCCTCAGTATTTATTTGCCAAACCTATCAACAATATCATAGTGACAGACTCTTAATTATTATTTTCTTTTACATATGCAAGCAGTTGTGTAGTTGCACAGCCTCTCTCCTTTAATCAAGCACAAAGAAAAAGATGATGCTCCACTGCTGGGAACTGCTCTACATCGCCTGTTTCTATGGCCCACCCTGGTCTCCTTTTTCTTCATGTGTACCTCACTGTCTTTAAGGGTTTTGCTTCCCCCTACTGGCTGTATTGCTTATTACATGATTTAAATTTATGTTGAACATTTTCTCTTAACCCTCTAGAGACATTTCTAGCCTTTATTATCAGACATAGTGGGCTAAGTAGCAGAGTGTAGAAGAATGAATGAGGATGAAGAAATCTTTCATCAGCTCTTGACTTTTGTAGGTCACTCAGGCATTATGCTGCAAGAAGCAGAGCTGGCAAGCTTTCAGGCATCTTTGTAGTTTGTAAAGGTGTTCTTTAATGTCTTTGGTCCAGCTGTAATTTGTAATTCTGCCATCACTTCTTATTTCCCTATCCTCTCTTCTCTAAGTAACTTAGTGAGTGTTTAAGTTTGCCAGTACACAAAAGCAATAGTGGTACTGGAAACCCTGGGGTACAATCAACTTCTGCAAGCAATCAGAGCCTCATATTGCTCTGAGTATCCCCAATACATTGGTAAATAACTTCATTCATTGGATAAAAATGCACAAACACTGCTTTAATGCTTGTGGAAAGCGTCCTGCTCAGCACAGCCTTGTCTCTGTGGGCTACTAGGACCTTTCCACTCAGAAAATTCACATTCACATCTCTGTCCTTATGGTGACAGAATGCACAAGATTAATAATGATGGTCTCAGGCTGGAGGAAGTCTGCTAACTTAGGAGATAGAAAGTATGCTGGAGTGAGGAGACTAATGCTTTAATTCCAAACTAACAGACTGCAAATCAACACCCAGGCGGGAGTAACCTAACTGTAGCTGCGCTCTAATTGAAACTTGGATTGCAATCTCATTGTAATTATCCAGAGTTAATCCAACCTAATTCTCAGGCTCATTACGCGCAGGTTGGTTACACGCCGAGTTTAGGAATAAAGTCGAAGACAAAATCAGGACATTAAACCCTGATTGTCCTCAGATCACCATAGCTTACGAATAGGTAAATCAATTGCTGGAAACATAAGGTATTATCCAATAAAAATCACCTCTTGGTATGACAGTAACTGGTCTGAATATGCTAAATACAAATTTCTGTTATAAAACTTGTGAATATTGTGACAACCCCTCCCACTCCTCCTCTGCTTTCTCCTCTTGCATGTGTCTGATTTCGCTCTGTGTTGCAGCCTCAGGGAGATGGTGGAGGGCGGAGCTGGGAGGGGCTGAGTTACCTGCCCAACAGGGCAGGGCCAGAGAGCATAAAAGGCCTGGCTGAAATGCTGTAGGTCTCTCTCTCAGCAGGGCCTGCATCTACCACACCAGCCACCACCTTTTTGGGTTTGATTATCTAACAACATCCACCACACACGCTCACACATCCAACATTTGCTGACACTACTGATCTTAAACCTGACGCCTCATACTGATTGATAGTCATTTTTGTTAAATAAAATATCTTGGTTAATGGTTATTGTTGTGTGTTGCCTCCCTTCTTGTTATCTGCCTTCAGCCAGGCAGTAACAAAATGCAGTTTTCTCTTCAGTATGTGAGAATGATTTTTCTGATAA